GAAGAAAGGAAGAAAAAAACACCCTAACTGTCCCTCAGCAGTGGAGTAAGTAAATAAAAACATGATGTTTTCATTATGAAATACTACAAAGAAGTTAAAATAAATTACAAGAATAATGTGTATTAACACAGATAAATCTCAGAAACATAATGTTGAATGGAAAAAATTAATGGTAAGATTTATACCACTTACATTTTCTAGCTTAAACTGCTAAAGTGAAACACACACACACCGTACATGGATACAACCATGTATAATTTTTAGAAATGTTTTAATTGGAGAATGATACACCACCAAGTTCAGAATAGCAATTACCTTTAGGGGAAAGGAAGGGGAGAAGGATGGATAAAGGCGGAGTTTTATGTCAACTCATAACATTTTATTTCCAGAAACCAAACCAACCAAATAAAGAATTTAAAAAACCCAAAGCAATGGCGTAAACACAAGGTTAGCATCTCTTAAATCTTGATTGTGGATTTATAGATGTCTTATTGTTTTGTACTTTCAGATGTTTGAAGTATTTCATAATAAGCGATTTAAAATAAGAAATAGCAACAGTTCCTTGTGACACCAAGTCACAAATCATAGATCCGTGGCAGTGGACTTCAGCACCATGTGTCTTGCCCTCTATGTGAGGTGAGTAGTAACACTGAACCCCACCCAGACATCTCAGAAATCGGTTTGGCTTTGTTCTGGGACAAAGTGACTTCCCTGACACTCCTTTCTCTTCTTCACCAAAGAAAGCACTGTGGCAGAAACCAAGCCTCAGGACAGCCTCCCCCAGACCCAGTTGTCCCACTGACACAGCCTTGTCTAACATAGAGGCAAATTTATTTGATGCTTTGCACACTGAACAATAGGAAAAGGTGTATTCACTGTGCTGACAAACTGGAGCTCTCATTCACAAGGCAGAGAACTGGGTGTTTGGAAAGCACCTGTCCCTGATAAAGGCAGGTGCTGGTTCCTGTGGGTGGACAGTGGTCTCAGCACGTACAGAGAGTGGATGGCATAGAGTGCATAAGGTATTGATAAGACACATGCAGGTGGCTCCTGGGAAGGAAGGGAGAGAGGCCAAAGTATGCCAACCGGACCTGGGACATTCTGAGCACAGCATGAAGTGTCACTCTGTCATCTCCCAGGGCTGTGCCTGAGGTCTGGATAAGGGAGCTCCAGCAGCACCCGAAATATCAACAGCAGCAGAGCGGATGCTAAGAGAACCAGAATGTGTTAAGACAAGGATTTATGACCAACGTTGGAGTGGCCATTGTCATAGCAGGGGGACATAGTACCAGTTTCATCTCAAGGAGAGAAGACATAACTAGCAGTTTAGCCCAAGACAGGATGGTGGCCTTGCATGGGCCAGAGCATGCACAGCTGTGGAAGCCATTGAGCATGGCTTAGACATCAATAGGCATCAGCAGGGGCAGGGCACCGGTATAACTGTCCCTTGACTACTGGCGGAAACCAGAGACTTAATAACCTAGTTGGATTCTTTTTTTTTTTTAAGATTTTATTTATTTATTTGAGAGAGAGAGAGAGAATGAGAGACAGAGAGCATGAGAGGGAAGAGGGTCAGAGGGAGAAGCAGACCCCCTGCCGAGCAGGGAGCCCGATGCGGGACTCGATCCCGGGACTCCAGGACCATGACCTGAGCCGAAGGCAGTCGCTTAACCAACTGAGCCACCCAGGCGCCCCACCTAGTTGGATTCAGAACTTCTTTTGGGGTAGGGAAGGGAGCTGGTCCCCAAATCCAATTTTAGTCCTCGTGGTTACAAAAGTCAAACAAGTAGAGAAACGCTTTAAAAATCTGTTGGGTATTAATCAGATGTAAGAGATGCCCTTTTTACTGTTACAAATTCTTCAGTATTTCCCAAGGGAAAGTTTCAGAGATGTCTGGGGTACTTAGAGCATCATCTCTCCCCCTTGTGACAGTGTTGAAGGATGCGTAAGATCCGGGTGCTTGTTAGGGATGGGTTTCATTCCATCACAGTCATACCTCATGTGCAACTGACAACGAGCTCTTTTCTCCTTACTCTGTGAATTAGAAAGAAAATGAGTCATACAGCTCCTGGTACCTGGTTGGTGTTCAGTTAATGTTGGCTTCTGTCCCTCTTCTTACAGGCACTTGGAAAGAAAAAATGGAACTTTCTAGAAATGTTAACATTCCACAGGTGCAGTACTGAGTCAGCGCCCATGGTGAATATTCACCATATTTAGATGAGGCCTCTTGCCTTAGTGGCCCCACTGGTTCCTGGCTGGCCCAAGGGGACGCCAGGCTCACTGTACCTAATGAATGTTAATTAATGGTGATGAAGCCATTAATGACACAGTCCTCCTGTGCTTTCAAGTGGCTTTATAAGAAGCACATACAGAGTGAACACTTTGGAAAGAACGAGTACAAATGAGAACCATCACTGCTTTGCAAGAGGAAAGTTTATTAGATTTACAAAGGGATTTAGGGGCCTGAGAGGAAGGTCAGAGCCACAGAGAGAACCGCAACACACCTAGTAGGACATCTTCGCAGCCCAGACCTATCAGACCACCAGGTCACAGAAAAACTGTAAGAGAGCAGCCTTGAATGAAGGGGATCTGGTGCGCTCGGCTCAGAGTCAGGCCACACCTGGGCATTTGCTCTCCTTCCAGACCGTGATTTATGGGGTTGCCTGGGGCGGGCTTCTGTGGCTGATGCTTGTCAGAGAAGTAGGGCTGGTCCATCGATGGTCCTTCTGTCTTCATGCAATCCTCTTGCTGGCCCCAGGCTATCTAGCATCCAAAGGTGTTGCAGGGCCCACAGCGGGAGCGTGGGCCACACGGGGTGCAGGGATTGGTGATGGAGGGTCCAATGGGCCTGTCGCATGCGTTGGTCATGGCGCAGGGGTTGCAGGGCAGCCTGGGACACAGAATTAATAGTTGGTCAGCATGAGAGGGATGATTTTTTAAGCCTTTTTTTTTTT